GATTGTTTCCTACCTTCAGGCCAAACATTTGACTTGACTTGATTTGGACCCCAAGCCATTCTACAGTCATGAACCAACTTGAAAGTCAATGACATTTGAAAAGGCTTTCCAGACCTGAAAGTTTTGGTATTAAAAAAATATTTTGTACTTCATCGACATCAAACATTATGTTATATAAATGGATTAGAAAAATGACTGTAATGCCAAGTAGGAATTTAATTTCTTCTCTTGAATCATTTATGTCTCATCTATGTCCTGCATCCTTTACCCTCCTTCTACTCCCTAAAAATAACAGTAATTGACAATAATAATTAAAAAATGATTGCATAAAAGTTTTAGAATTTACTTGACAAATAAATGTGGGACATGACATCTGTTTTTCTGTTGTATCCATATGAAGAGCAATTCTGCTGCACTTGGCTGCAAGACAAACTGTCATGCTAAGACAACTTCATGAGGGACTACAACTTTACACCCTAATAGGTTTCGTGGAAAGGAACAGGGTGCTTTGCCGTAGCCTCTTTGTGGCAGGTGATGATGATAAGGTAAGCCCACATGATCTCCTGAACCAGAGACATGTTAGCTGCTATATGGCTCCAAATATAAAAGTCTTGAGGTCTTAATACCACTGAAATCATTTTAAATAACATAAAAATCTTCTTCCTGCTCATAGTATTTTGGACAAATGTTTTTTTCTCTTTTGCTTGGTGTGTTTATTTTAGGTGAACTCAATGTGTCACACTTGGCCCCAGTGATGAGCGAAAGCGGTATACAGAAGCATGCAACAGAGGCACAAACCCTAGATAACTTGAGGGCAAGTGTTGTTTACTCCATAAGCACAAATTGCAGTTGGGCAGGGGGTGTAAGTGTGCTTTACCAAAGCACTCACTATCGCTTACTTTGTTGTTTATTACTGTGCTTGGTTCACTCTTATTCTGTGTTCTTCCACCTACATTTTGCACTCATATGCTTTTGAACGGTTTAACCTATCAATTCCTACTACTTCGGGTAGCCTGTTAATGTTACAACTACTACTGCTGCCATTACAGTATTAGTTCTTCTGCTGCTGCTATTACTACTATTACTGTTACTACAGCACTACTGTTACTACTCTTTCAACCACTTAAATTGACCAAGTTTCTAATAATGAAACACTAAAACCAACAAGTAATTCAATCTCTTAATACTGAAGGATGCATGCAAATAGCTTTTACAAATTACAAATGAACTTTTCCAGTTTTTAATACTAATTGTGAGCAGGATCTTGTGATTTTGCAGACCCAAAATAGGTGCTTCAAAGTAATGTCACGTCTTTGTCTGGTTTTGTCCAGTTGTATTCAGCTATTTAGACATTGTCTCATTTTGAATTTCCTCACATTAAACTGCTGAGGACGAGGATGCAATGGTTGACTAGACAGTCACACAGACAGGTACTTCTTTCAGTGAGAGAAACTTTTAAGATGACTGTCCACTTTGACCACAAGTGTGTGGAACGGATACTAAACCACACAATTTCTAGTTATTAGCTTAACAATTTACGAGTAAAGTCAAAGCACAAAGGGGCCTTTCCATTGTCACACACTTTGAAAAAGAGTGTAATTACAGTTTCATTTGTAATGTCATAGGCACGTACTGCAACCAAACACCCCTTTGTTTTGACTTTTAACTTTAATCTACTATATGAACACATTCACCATTCAGGAACCTGTGAATTATAACTTGATGTTGAAAAATGGGCTAAAAGTATCTGGTAATGGTTGCACTCAGATGTCTCAAATATTCCTTTGTATTTGCCTTACACTGTATGAAACACAAAAAATAAATCAAAATACAAATGAACTGCAAGTGTTTGTCATGTTTTATTATTGCACTTTCTGTTTATGACCAAGTCTGAAACCTGGCCAAGCTGCACCTGGTTGATTGTTAGCTAGCAGTTAAATACAAAATAAATAGAAACGAACTCCCTTCTCGCTGAAGGACAGCAAGGTTCTGTTCTGACAGGGGGCACGGGATCACTGACACCACTACTCCATCTTCTAGGTCAGCATCAGTGCAGTGATCCTGGAAAAGATTCTCCATTGGCTGAAAGACAGAAAGGTTAAGTTACTTAGGCCACGACTAGCCCCCAGGATGGTTTCTGATACCTTTTGTTTCCTGTCAACCTAAACCTTGGGTTATCACAAGTTCATAATGAGCAGCCCAAACTTGGGGCCTGTTTGCTTTCAGCGGAGTGGAAACAAAAGCTGTAAATTCAAATACTGAGTTACTGCAACTGTCAACTGGCTCAAATTGAAGCCAACAAAGCTTTGGAAGTTTCTAAATATAAATGAGGTGAGTGTTCCACACCATTAAGTGATTGAAATTTGTTGCCTTTTGTTGGAGGTTGGGGATGACATTTTAAAGACGAATGCCAGCTCCATAGTCTCACACTTCTATTTATGCAGTGTAGTATCTTAATATTCAAATTTACTTGGGCTGCCCCCAACTTAAGGTTTTCCTACTCTACTAGTAATCGTTAGTTCAAGCTATTAGTCGTTGCACAATTATGTTATTAGTTACATATTTTGGGGGCATCAGAAAATGGATTGAGAAAGAATGTTATAAGTAACTCTGTTAACACTGTGCTACATCGTTAACAGTAATAATTCAGAGTCAGCCAATAGGACAGCTTACTAGCTAATTGCAAATCCCACAGTTTGCAGCAGCGACATGTATAATTATCGTAGATAATACATCTGTGCGTGCCAGTAAGTGACTTCGGTGTTACAAGAGAAAAAGGTCCGTGTTGCAACAATCCCATGATTCTTTCGTCCGGGCCCTAACGACAAGGTAAAGCTCCTGAATGGAGTTTAAGGTTGTTGGGGTTTTTGCGAATTTGCGGTTTCTGCGAATAACTGACCAATGAAAACTTGGTCGACTCTTCTCATTGACTAACAGTTTAGTCGACTATTAACCCTAGAATTTACATAGTTTTGCGAGCAGAGTGTACTCAAACAGTCAACATGCATGATGCTGGGGTGCGGCCCAGAGGATTAGCCAATTATGAGGCCGACTAAGAGGGCATTGCACGATATACGATATAGAACAAAGAATAATGACTTGTTCGCAAGACTTTGATGTAATTACAACCTTGGGGCACATCTATGTTTGTGGACACCATCCAAGTAGGAGGAGAATGCAGTTGTATCTTTGTTGTTGGGAGCAGCATCAAGATATAGGATGTAAAAAGGATTGCGGAGACGGAATTACATATCATTAAGTCTTAATGACTTAACACTGTGACACATTTGTTTTTTGTTTCTTTGTCAGGACAGGACTTTGACATACATTTCTTGAGAAACAGACAGTCCCACCAAATCTCATGATATTAAATCTGAAGGGAAGAAGGTACGTACAAAAGTTTTCATACATGTGAATGGCAAAGGACAAAAAAAACAAGAAAACATCTGTAGTGTTGACACAGGGCACGAGGGTCACTGAATGGTTTGATGAGGACAAAACTGATGTAAATCATTATGCAATGGCCTTGAGTCACCGGCCAAATAAAACAAGAAAATATGCAGTGTTGACACTGGGCAAATATGCCGAATTGTAATTTTATGGTTTATTGTTGTTCGGACGATTAACCTAAGCTAGCTAATATGTACTAACGTCAATTGTCACTTGTTGCTATGGCAATGGTAAATATTCACATATGGGTTGATGAAATGTGATTGACAAAGGACAAAAAAACAAGAAAATATGTGGAGTGTTGACATAGGGCATGAGGGCTCACTGAGTGGTTTGATGTAGATAAAACTGATGTAAATGTTGTGTAAATGTTGAGTAACTGGACAAGAAAAACAAACAAAACAAAAATATGTGGAGTGTTGACACACGGCAAATAAACCAAATTGTAATTTTATGGGTTATTGTTATCCAGAAGTTCCACTGCTAGCTGCCACTGCCACTTTTTGAGCCCTTACTGAGATTTTGGACGTATGTGTGAGACAGCACTCTCCACCACCATCATCAAAACATCAAATGAGGGAATATCTTTTGGAAGAATGGTGTGCGATTCCTTCAGTAGAGTTCAGAGACTTGATGAATCTTTGCTAAGAAGCACTGAAGCTGCACCTTACTAAGACACGTTTTGTTTGCTATTCTTCAGGATTAACCATAGTCATGGCATGGCTATTGCTAGTGCATTTAAATAACTTAGGGAAATTGAATACAGCTATTACCATGCTCAAATGCAAATTATTGATCTAATTTTCTATACTTCTCAATGAAAAAATGCATTCCAGTAAATAAGAGGGCATTTTTCATGACCACAAGAGGGAGACTCTGGCTACATCAACCATATGTATTACAAAAACTGAATTGAATATGTTGTGTATCAGTGGCATGAACAGGCCTTCAAGACAGTGGCTACAGAAGCCAGCAAGAAAACGCACACGCTTTATGTAGTCTGCTGTTGCATGAAAATATCACTGCTGTTTTAAAATAACTGTCATTTATACAGCCCAGTGTTACCTGTCTGAAGTTAGCAGGCAGGTCCTGCCTAGCTAGTTAACCAGCATGTCTCAAAATAATTTTTGTTTTATTTGTTTTTAGAGAGAGAGAGAGCAAGACAGAAACACCCATCTGATTAATTTATGATTGGTGTCTGCTTGAACTAAGGACAGTGGTGCAGGAACACAGTAGCTTCTGCAGGCTACTTCTACTACTGCTTCTTCTGCTGGTCTTCTACATTTCTAACACCTTTATTTGACACTGAGATGTACGTACCAGCTTTGTCCCCGACCCCCAACCCGACCGAGACACACACACACACACACACACACACACACACACACACAATTTATCCATCCATCCATCCATCGTCAACCGCTTATCCAGCCAGTCCCAGCTGACATTGGGCGCAAGGCGGGGTACACACAACTTATATGACACAATAATTTTAGCAAAATGGAACAAGGGGAGCGCCCTCAAGAATGGCATCATGGCTCTGGCTAAATCTGTCCACAGCAGAGTATCTATCCACCTGGAGGAGTAACTAGTACAAATTTGTGTACAAGTGCTATATTATAACAATAAATAAAACATTTAATGTTAGCATAATACTAATATATTTATAGATTACTATATATATGTACTAAGGTCTGCCTGCTGATACAGTTAGATATACATTATAGTAGGCCTATTAGTAACATTTTAACAACTGATTGACATTCAACAATTCAACTGATTTACAAACTGCTTTCTCCCTTGTGTTTTTGTTTTGTCATCTGTCTGAGCTGTGTGCTGTGTGGGCGTGGTGCTCCTGGTTCTCTCTTTCCTCATCAGGACACCTGTGGCTTCCTACTCACCTGAAGCAGATTCTGCAATCACCTCTCCTGTCTTAAGCCCCAGCTTTCCAACTAGTCTCTGGCAGATCATCTGTTCATCCAAGTGGTAACACTTCCAACAGCCAGCCTTAGAGGTTTTTTTGTCTAGTCAGCCTCTTGGATCTCTTGTTTTGATCTTTGTCTGACTTTGCGTGTTTTTGCTCCTGCTCCAGATAACCGCTTCAGTCCCGGAAGCCCAGCCTGCCTGCCTAGCCGAGTTGTTTTGGACCAGCCTCTCGCATGTCTGCCTGCACTCTTCCCCAGCCTCACAGTGGATTTCAGAGCACCATTCCTACCTGTTGTTCAATAAAACCCCTGTACCTGTTTCTTACTTTGCCTCCATGTCTTCTCCTGAGTCTTAGACAGCCCAGCCTAACACAGCATCAGACAAAGGGCTTGTCTTTGTACTTGTCTTGTTAGATTTTAGTGCTGCATTTGACACCACCGACCATCACATCCTACTACAGAAACTGAAACACTGAATTAGCATTAAAGGAGCCACACTAGGCTGGTTTAAGTTATATTTATCAGATTCGTCTTGGTTTGTACATGTTAACATTGTATCCTCCATGTGTGCCAAAGTTGCTCGTGGAGTTCCACCAGGTTCTGTGCTTAGACCAATTCTATTCACCTTATTGGGACACATAAACTTTCATTGTTGTTGGAACAATATATTAAACTCAGACAAAATGTCATTGTATTTGGCCCCAACCACCTCCAAAACACATAATCTAGATTCTAGATCATCAAGACATACTTACTCTACATGGCATTGCCCTGGCTTCCAGCACCACCATAAAGAATCTCTGGGGTTATCTTATCTATCAGGATGTTCTTTAACTCCCAAATAAAACAAACTAGATCAGGCACATCCTTGTCTAAAAATCATACAGAAAAACTAGTCCACACGTTTGTTACTTCTAGGCTGGATTATTACAATTCCTTATTAACAGGCTACCAGAATAAGTCCCTTAACCCTTTAGAATAATGCACTCCCAGAATGGACGGTTTATAGTGGTTCCCAGAGTCTCCGAAAGTAGAATGGGAACTACAGCCTTCAGCTATTGAGTTTCTTTCCCATATCCACATTTAAGATTATAGGCTTAAGACTTTCCTCTTTAATGAAGTTTATAGTCAGGGCTGGCTATCCCTGAACCATCCCTTAGTCATGCTGCTAATAGGCCAAGACTGCCAGGAGACTTCCCAACCCGCTCTACCTCCTGAGCCACAGTCACAACACCACAGTTAACGACATGCATTCCACTAACACCACAAAACAACCAGCTCACAACACAGACCCCAACATAAACTCCACGTGAGGATACAAAACAACAATAAAGGTTTATGTGCTGAAGCCCATCAAACCAAATGAGATTCAGATGATGTCAGGTGAAAACAACATCAACATCAGAAAGGCTGGAGCCACAGAGAAAGTCACAGTAGCTCACCGGCTAATGCCGAGCAGTTGGTAACGTTATCCAGTCCAAAGTCGTATCACTTTCCACATTACTTCACCAGCTAACGCGACCCATATTACTATCCTGGTTACCACCGGTATTATATCAAAGTGTTGATTTAGCCTGCAAGAAAATTTAGTGGAACGATTTGTCTATACAAACCTTTCAGTCGCTGTAACTAACATGACCCACATAACACAATAATGCAACAAAATGGCAAAACAACACAGAGGAAGATCCATTCACTCAAGTTACTTACTTCGGTCTAATTGTTATAAAGTGTGGAAACAATGTAATTTATAATATTCAGTCTTGCTCACTAACCATCATTATGATCCAATACATTTAGCTGTTTTGACATTGCTGCGCCGCCAGTAAAAGATACACAAATAGTAACGTTAGTTACTGAACAAACAGGCGAGCTAATGCTGATGTATCATGTTGGCTAAATGGGTCAGTGTAAGTTATTATGTAACGAGCATGGATTAGTTCAACCTCAAGCTGATAAAAATATTACCATAACGTTGCCATGGGAGTTTACCTGAGTTTCCTGCATGTTGTGTGACGCTGTCTCCGTGTCTGTCAAAGCCGCTTTCACACTGCCTTTTTTTTCTGGAGTAACGTTACTGTGCTAATATGCCAGCTCGCTGTATGAAAGGTACTGAGCCGGTGTTGATCTGCCTCTGAGCTGGCAATGTTGAAGTAACAGAGCTTGAACATGTCTGGAGAAAAGCCACTGTGTTTCCGAGTTGACTGTGAGATTTCTGTATGAAAGCGGTTGTGTTTCAGATTATGCTCACACATGAGTTCAAGTGAGCATGCGTACGAGCACACGCCGCAATCTTAAAACCACACTGCTAGTGGCCGCTGAAAACTACATATTGGCCCCTTTAAGGTTAATGATGATGAGTGACAGCTCTCTGCTTCTTCCTCCTCTATTTGTATAGACACGTAAGGGTAATAAGTTTAATGACACATAGTAATTATTCAGTAATGCATGTGATATGACTAACCAGGATATATTGATATTTACAACAATATGTCATTGTATCATCTCCCTCAGACTTTCATACTGATCCATTTCCACACGAAAACATGCAAAGAACGTAGGTGGGATGTTTTAGGCTCTGGAGGTTTGGAGGAAAAAAATTATGGAAGTTAGGTGGAAAAGCGAATTATTCTCAAGTGTCGGAGTAGGCGCATCTGAAAAATAAAGAGGGAATGGGGGCAACAGAAAGACAAAGAAGATAATTTGTATTGGAAAATGCCACTGAAGTGTGACCGCACTCAGAAAACACCAGGGAGCACAAGCTCACAGAGCAGGAATAAATGAATTTACTTTCTACACTTTCTTCAACAATCATTAAATCAGAATATATTTTCCCAAGATATAAGTCCACTAAGGACTCTAGTGCACACCTAAGTAGACTGCAATCCAATATACTAACACATTGACATCCAAAAGTGGTATTTACTAAGCCTTACTCAAATACATTAATCAAAATATATGCATTATAGAAAGTGGCTGCACATATTCACCCATGTTGTTTATTTATTTGGGATTAGTCAAATCTAAGAAAATCTGTACTAACCCTCCCTATTGCCTTGCTTATTATATTTTCTACATTTATACTCTATATAAATTTTTTCCCAAAACTTTGTACAGTGTGACATAAGTCTAACACACACACACGTTGTATGAAACTACTTAAATAAAACACTTACTAATGGAAACATCTTGCAACGAAAATAAATTGGAAATTGAAAATATAAACGAAAGTGATTGTACAAATATGACCCTGGTTTAATTTGTTGAGCACAGACACACGTCTTTGTAAACTCAACCAAACAACATATATGAATCGCTGTCAAGGAGAAAATAAGGCTGTCTAGGTTAATTCCTGTAATGAAAGAATTCACATAGCTGGGATAATGCATCACCAGTATGACATGGAATCCATATATTCAGCACATTAATGCAATAGAACCAGCAAGGGAAAATTTATTTGCTCATGTCTTTACATCTGCATCCATTCATCACCATGAAATAGTGATTGTGGCCCCATAAAGGAAGATTGCCATGACAACAACTATGTGAGTTTTAATGCCCATTACTCAGTAATTGGCAAATTTAGCTGAAAATCCCTCAACAGTCATTACACATCCAAGAAACAACTGCCTAATCATTTTTTTTGCTGTGCAATTCTAATGTTTGTCCAGGCCAGACGCACAGCCTTGGCCTTCTAAACCTTCATCTTACCCTTGGGCTTTTCCTGAGTAAATCAACTGGGGCATAGTAATTGTGTCTTTGTCCCTGTGGCAAAAGAAGGACCAGTATGGTGTGCATGCATGTGGGAATAATGTGTAAGCGTGTGTGGGTGGAGTCTCTACTGGACCATGCAGATGAGTTGGTCCTGCAATTGCTGCAGAAAAAAATCTTTCCTTTAACAGCTCACATCCGTTCTGCGTAGCAGGCTAATGCTAGATCTTTTAAGACATTGTCCCTTCTCACACACACACACACATACGCACACACACACACACTGCAAAAACTACAATTTTAGTAAGATTAATTATCTTAATTGAAGGCAAAATATTCTTATTTTTTGTCTGACAAGATATTTTTATAGTTTTTGTGGCCTTAAGTAGCAAGTGAAATGTTAAGATAATTTTGCTTATTTTAAGTAATATTTCTCCCATTTTAATGCTTTTTTTCCTTGTTTTTGAGAGCTCAGTTTTTGCAGTGCACACACACATTACCCAAGCAGATGAATACCATGTGGATAATCTTAAATACACTTTTTTTCAGTTTTGGCCTAACATCCACACTCAATTTTCAATAATAAAAACCTACTGAAACATGTAATCAACCTTTCACCAACATTGCTGGTGAACTTGTACTTGCCAGCAGTTCTGAGAAACCAACTTTGAGTTGCTTCCAACTCTCTTTCATCGCCTGTATTGTGTTTAAAGCCAATAACATCACGCAGGTGTTCTGAAAGACATTTTCTGTCTCTGTTATATAAATGTTGATTGAGTGTCAAATGCACCAACCCAGAAATTATTATTAACTGTCGTTTGAGGTACTGTTTATGATGCGACATCAACCTATTATCAGTGACAACAGCTGTACTGGGTGAGTGGCTATATTGAAACTCAAATTAAGTGATCACAGAGAGAGGTCTCAGAACTGAGCTTTACCTTACAAACTGAAAGAAGAGAACCATCAGGCATGTTTGTGGATTTTGTTACCTTTTTTAAAATTCATTTTTAAACTTTATTACGTCAATACATACAGACAAACTGTATGGGTACAAAATGTGGAACTTGGCATAGCAAGGAAAAGACAAATAATACACAAAAAGAAATACATTTGTAAAAAATTAAAAGAAAAAATATGTGTATATATAAGTAAATGTACAAATGTATTGTGTAATTACATAGTTTTACCATTTTTTAGAGCTTTCTTGTTTTGGGATGAGTTTATAGTTCCAATATATAATTTATTTTCTTTCTTTAGCACAGTGAATAGTGGTTTGGCATTAGTAAAACAAATGTGTAAAAAAAATTTGCAGAAGGTTTTAGGACTACATTCAACATTCGTAAAACCAAAGATAACATTTTTATACTGTCCAAAATCACAGTAAATATTATCAATTACAAATCTACATAGACCTACATCTTTCCACAGTTTCTTGGTGTAAGTACAATGCCATAATATAGACATACACATATATAAATGGGCTATAGTTTCTTCATGAAGATCAGAGAATGAGCACATAATGTCAATATCTTTTTACAACTTCACCAGAAAGAATTTTACAGGGTAGAAATGATTCAAAACCTTAAAGGAAATTTCTCTGACGTTATTCAC